CATTAACTGCTCCTCTGGGGAAGGTATTTAGTGGGATAAGAACACTATCTCTTGAGTTAAGATTGCCAGATTTAAAATTCTAATTCTCTCCTTTTCCTACGTGACTTTCATTAGATTACTTTGCTAAGTTTCAGTTTCCTCACCTATAAAATTGGTGTAATAATAGTACTACAACATGGGATTATTATTATTTTCCCACAAGATATACTTTCAAATACCTAAAAATGGTTATCATGCCTTCCTCTGATTTTCATTTCCTCAGGTTAAATATTTCGAAGTCCTTAAAACATTGTCCAGAATGACATGGTTTCCTGAGCCCTTGTTTTCTTCCTTAGGATATTGTTTTTCTTAAATGTCACGCCCAAACTAAAATCCAATATTTTAATGTGCAAAGTATAGAGGATGATGAAATCATGCTTTCCAGTGATCTAGACCTTAAGTAGACTATATTTTAAATCTCTCAATCTTAGTTTACTCACATATAAAATATCTTAGTCTGTTGGAGCTGCCATAATGAACCACACACTTGGTGACTTAAGCAATAGAAGTTAATTTTCTCACAGTTCTGGAGGCTGGAAAGTCCAAGATCAAGTTTCCGGCAAGGTAAATTAAATTCTGAGGCCTCCTGGCTTGGCTTGTAGGTGGCTGCCATCACACTGTGTGCTCACACGGTCTCTTCTGATGAGGATACTCATCCTATCTGATCAGGGCCCTATCCTTATAACCTCATTTAAGCTTAATTACTTCCTTTGAGCCTCCATCTCTAAATACAGTCACACTGGGGTTAGAACTTCAACATAGGAATTTGGGGGAGACAAAGATTTAGTCTATAACAGCTTCCAACTTTTCTAATTTCTTTTATCTTTTTTGGAGAACTTATATCACACCATCGTTGCCTACCCTAAATATATGTATTGGATTCTATTTAATTAGACAATTTTTTTTTTTTTATGGGAACCACTACATTGTCCTAGGCACAGAGTTTAAGAGAAAGGGCAGTTTCTGCTTGCAAAAACTCACACTCCAAGGTCAGAGACTGAGAAAACAATTGGAATACAACATGCTATGAGTCACTTTATAGTACGAGAGGACTTTATTTTACTTTGTTTTCAGCAGCATCTTTCCATGGTACATATGATCTTTGTCATTACTGGGGACAGTATTCCAGCACTATCTTGTTTTTTGTTGTTGTCGTTATTGTTGTTTCCGCCCCCCCTCCCCCATCAGCCTGATCTCAAGGTCAGTAATTTTAACACTTTTACCTACATCCTCAATTTTCTTGACCCATCATTGCTCTGCTCTTCCCAGCTAATTTATCCTTAATTTTGAACTTATCCATTGATCTGCTGTTCCCAAGGCAGTTAAGCCCCATAGAATAGTGAAGAATTGTGCTGATTAACTATTTAAAATTATAGGTTTAAGCCTCAGCAGGCAGTTTAGCACTGCAAGGCAAACCTGTAACTTGATTGTAGTTAATGCCACTTCTTAGTCCACCGTGTCTGATGAAAACCCTTATTGTACTTACTAAATTCCTCATTTCACACCCTCCTGAAGACCACTTTGTTTGATACTTCACCTGATATATAAGTTGTCCTCAGATAGTAACAATGCCCTGCATTAAATGCAAGGCAATCTCTAGCCCCATTGCCCAGGGTTATAAACAAATACTATTATTTGCTTAAGTTCTCACCCTTTTCATTCCAAAACTCCTTGATTTTCAATCTATTTTCTGTTCCAGATATGGCAGTTAAAGACTTGACAACAGATTACCACTTCCCAATGTTTCTCCCTTGACACAATACTATCTCCAGGATTTGAACTAAACATGGAGTGCCCTACTCTTTAGACTGTTCCAGAACTCAATTCTTGGACAATTTCTATTTATACTCACTCCCTCTGTGATCCCATTTAATCTTACGTCTTTAAATTAATATATCATCCACATGCTGATGACTCCCAATTTTATTTCTCTAACTCAATCTCTCCCCTGAAACTCTGGACTCCTTTAACTCAAAATCTCATTTGGGATTTGCCATCTGAAACTTAACATGTCTAAAATCAAGCCTCTGTAAGAGGACACTTTTGGGAGAGAAGGACATAGTCATTATCTTGATTGCAGTGTTTCATGGGTGCATGTCTATGGAAAAACTCATCAAACCGTACACTTCAAATGTACACTTTGTTGGACATCAATTATAGTCAATAGGAGGCAAGGGCACATCAAAAGTTTTGACTTCAGTAAAGCGATGCACTATAATTGTAAATGTTACTTTCTTCAAATTTCTGAAATGCTTTTCATTGAAGAGAACTAGAATCAACTAAGCATAACTAATAAGTTCCCAAATAGATTTAATTATACTGTACTCAATTTGGGATTCTGAGATTTTTTTCCTGTTATAACTCAGTCACATGGCATGTTGGGTCCTCAATGGTGGACACATAGTAAGGGGAAGAGGCCAGGACTTGTGAAAATGAGACAATGAAGTCTAGTTTTCATATTGGAAATGTACCCTCCTCCACCCCAAGATGGTCCATAAAATTTCAAATATGACACATTTGTGTTCTGATTTGATCTCTGTATATACCCAAACATGTAGAAACAGTGAGGTGGAGAAAAGCCGGAGGCAATGGCAATATTCAGTGAGGCAACTGTAAGTATTATGCTTTAAATATTTGGATCTGAAACCAAACTTTTAGGAGGAAGGATGAGAAAGAGAGTCCCACCTCTATGAAGGAGGGACTGGCAAAGGATAAGCACACAATCCCAGTAACCTGGGATTCAAATAAAGGCTCTAATTCTAACTGGGGAACTGGTGTAAAAATCATGAAAACAGCCAAAAGCTCTTTCACACAGGCTGGGCAAACAGCAAACATTATGAAGCACATAATCAGTTCAGAGGGCACTTGATTGGGAAGCAAAGTGCAATAGGATATTGGATTTGTGGCAACAGAACTAATTTTAGAAAGCACCAAATGGTAGGTTTGAGCCAACTGAACTTTTAGGATAACCTGGAAGCACAGTGTAAGGCAGAGAAAAGAATTCCTATTGGCTACTCACTAAACCCAGACACAGTACATTCTGCTTTCAACTTCTGAAACCAGTCCTAACCAAGCAGATCCAACTATTATACTCCCATTCCTTTAGGTCACTAAGGCTTTTGAGTCTCCACTGAGTTCTCTATTAAGTTGCAGATATTCTGGAGGATAAATCTCTCACCTTGCTAACTTAAAGCCCCTAGTCTTGGCTCGTTGTTGGGTGTTCTATTATTACCTAATAAGTCAGCATTCACGTATCAGAAAGCTAGAACAGTCTAACAGCAAGACCTCTATTGTGTGAAATGAAAAAATCCTAAGTGCATACTAAAAATTTACATCAACTAGTAATTTTAAATTTTACCATGCATTGAGCATTCAAGTAATTTCAATAAAATATCGTACCTTTTTGTACTCAACTCTCATTTCCCATTCAGGTGTGGAACATGCAGTTAATAGCACTAAATATGACTATGTACCTTCCACTGAAACTGTTTTAGGGAATTCAAATTATAGCTTTTTAGAGTTCTAACTCTTGCTCCAAAACATTAAGGGTACTTTTCTAACATTTCAGCCTTGTCCTTCACTTGTCACCCTCAGGTCCTGGAGCATACTATCTTTGCTCAGTCTTTATGCCTAAATCTTCCCCACATTGAGAGTTGACTCAAAAATTCACTTGTTCGGTCTTCAGATATATGGCTTGCTTTTCTTGGCATATTGTCACTACTGACATATAATACATAGGAAGTACCTAACGTTTAACCTCATTGGCAGAATCCAGAATGGTGCTATATATAACATCAATGCACATTGCCAATCTGATTTGAATTATATCTAAGGAAGCGTTAATATTACGATGGGAAGGAAAAGAGCAAAAACTGCAGGAAAAGGTCAGAGGGCTCATTTTGTCTATTTCGCAACTTGTCTAAGTTTGCCAGCTCTGAGAAAAGATACTTTTTTAAGTTTGCCAGCTCTGAGAAAAGGTACTGAAAGTTTTGTGCAGGACCCTAGTCTTTTATCACTCATTTAACATTTACTGTACAACCAAGCATGCTAAGGTACATAGGCATTTAAATCAGTGAACATCTTACGAAGCATGTTAGAAAGTTCCTTATAGAACAGGACAAGGGGGAGGGTCAAGGGTGTAGATTGCAAATGTCAATTAACTCATGTCTATATGATAAAGAAATGCAACTAGGAATAGTCGCCAATACACTACTTGGAAGTGGTTTTTATAGCTTCATGAAATGTTGGAGTTACAAGATTGTCAATTGCTGCATTTTATATATCTTGCCTCAAAGGTTTTGTCTAAGGTCCAGCTTTTCTCATTTCATTTGGTAATACCAAGATGCTTATCTATTGGCACATTACACTAATTTTTCATTATTACAAGCCTCAAGAGCCCCTAATTTCCCACAAAGTACCTTAAGTTCACTTTCATAGAAATATACTTAACCATATTCTTGTACCTACTCCAACATATGGATACCCCAAATACTAAGCCATTTAATTTTACAGTACTTTGTATTTTAATGTGAGAAACACTTCTACAGAACAATTTTGTACATTGTCTTATTACTTGGGGCAAATTCACTATGTGCCTGGCCACTTAGCCACAGGATTGTTGTCTCATGGGCTTCTCCTGAGCTGTATGGGTTCAAAACTGAATTATTTTCATTTAGGCAAAAAACAAACAAATAAAAAAAACCCCACAAACATTTTAAGAAAAAGATGACAGCTCATATGAGGAAAAACTTGGTGTTATGGGCTTGGGGATAATTTCAGTGACCTTCCTCATGACCCTTAACTGCTATGCTGTTTGATCTTCATTCTCAGTACTATTTTTAGCTTAAACAGCCTTTCAAATTACATCAGGACTAAACATTCTGATGCCTGGTATCCCCTCATCCCCATAAAAGGCCCTCTCTTTCCACTTTGCTCTCATCTCTATTATTATATAGTCAATATAAACTTTCACTCAGCTTTAATTACATGTATTTTAAATTCAAACAGGTGACCAAAGATAAGACATTCATTTGGAAATTTGATTACAAGGCTAGTTGACTGAAATATAGTTTGATACACATTCCTAGCAACAGGTCTAATAAGTTTTATCTACTGGTTAACAGGTTTTGATTCTCTAGGGCAGTGTGACATGATTAAATATAAATAGCTTGAATCTTATGGATACATTAATCTAGACTTGATGTTGGTTGAGGATCTATTTGCACAATTAAAATATAATCAATCTTTATCTGCATGTTTTCTTTCCATGTCCATAAAATGAAGAACTTTTTCTGATCACCAGTTTTCCATTCAACATCTAAGTCAATCTTGGCCTAAAAAAGGAAAAACATTTGAGATTTACAAAAGCATTAACATCAGAACTTACTTAAATACTAGTGTCCTTATACTGGTCTATCTCAGAAGCCAGATCCGTATTGCTTTTTCAACAGAAATTCAGGTTCGGGATAGGATCATCACAGATTAAGACCAAGGACACAACACTGACTACAAGCAAAATAATTCCACTTACAGAAATAGGGACGTCAGAGAAAACTGGCTTCTTTCAAAGAGGAGTTACCACTCACTGTTGGCAGATAAAAAAAAGATTATTGGGTGCTAGTTTTTCCTCTACAAGATTTATAATCTAACAGAACCTTGTTATTAAATCCAGACAACAAAAATTTATTACATTTTTGCATATTGGTCTTATCTCAGAAGCCGAATCCGTACATGTTTTTCTTCAGGTAATCAGCTTCGGGATAGGTTTCATCATTGATTAGACCATAAACCAAAGCAACATTAAAAGACAAGCACTATATTAGAAAATACTATAGCAGACCTTGTAAGCCACACAACTTACTTCAAAACAAAGTAAGGCTGCTAGTCAGTGACATCCTTAGCTTCATTAGTATTCATCAACCCCCAAGATGCTGTTCAAAGACAAGAAAATTAGCTTTTAATATACATACAGACTAAACATGATGAATGAAAATACTAGTCCAATACACACCTGGTAAGATTGTCAGGTTTTAATCAAGTAACTTCCCGTATGTTTTGGAATTTTCCTTTGCATCTAATAAAAAGCAAGTTTCAAATGATTCGCCTTTTATTCCCGTAAATCAAGGTTTATTTCTTCAGTTTAAGAACTAAGCCCAACAGCACTTACCTCGGCATATCCATTTATCAGCTCCCTTACACCGAGCGCCATTGTTCCTGCGGGGGATCAATGTTTTAGACTAAGCATTCTCACAAATGCCACAGTTCAAGGTTTTCAGTACTAAAAAAACCTTCCCCGTCATTAATCCTATTTGCGCACAGCGCCACCTGGGTACAATTACAATTCAGTCTCCGGCAAAAATCAGGGACCTATTTTGAAATAATCGTTTGATCTGGCGACAGAACACACTCGCATTACTAATAAGGGCCTCTGGTTCTTAACGTAAAACTAAACCCTCGCTCCAAATCTTGGGAGTGTGATTTTCCTGCCGCCACTCAGGCTCAGCCGGCCGACTGCTCAGATTAAGTAACCAGGCCGCGCGCAGCGGTGGTGGCCAGCAGCAGCAGCAGCCGCCACCACGAGTAAAGACAAGTGACGATCCGGCTGCATGCTTGCCACATACGAGCTCTCAATATACAAATCTCTAAACCTCTTCACAGCACTGCCGCCTCCGACTTAAGTCCGCGCCACCGCGTTCTCATCCGCGACGAGTACTCACCGACTTCCCAGGAACGTCTCCCAAGTCCCGACGCAAAAGAACGCACTGCGCTGCTAGCAGTTCCCTATATAGCCTCTCTTGAGTCAGACTCGGGCTGCCCCGCCCTCTCACATCTATTGGACGCGAGAGAGACGGGGGCGTGGCCGTTCGATGAGGGAAAAAGCGAGAGCGCGCGCGGCGGCTCTTTTCTTTCGGGGGCTCGTTCTGGGGCGTGGTGCGCGCGCCGCCCGCACGCCGCGTGTTCGCTGGCGTGCTGCTCTCCGTGCTGCTCTCAGAATCCTTCCGATTCTGGCTCTACGTGGCGCAGGAGCGGCGCCAGAATTCAAACGAACAGGCGTAGTTGAAGGCAAGGCTACCGCCTGCCGTGTGCCAAGCCCGCCCTAGACGGATTGGGTGGCTCGGGACTGGGAGTGGATTTGAGCTTTGCAGCTAAGGGCGGCCTCAGTTTATGACCCATTCGAGAAGTCGAGCTGACTGGTTGGCTGGTGGCTGGAGGGAGTTGACCCCCAGCGGCCACTGCATGCGGGGAAAGAAATTGTTGGGCTGAAAAGCTCGCGTGAAAAAAGCATGTGAAAGCGCCGCGTATCTCCGCCGGTGCACAGCCGGAATACCGCACCTCGCGAGAGCCGGCCCTCCGCGCGGCACGCAGCCCAGGGCGAGGTCCTATGGGGCCCACCCTACCCGCACACTTCCTTGTGCTGGCGCTGCTGTTACACTCTATGTTCGGCACAGAGAATTCTCCCTGGGACAGCAAACCTGAGAGGTAAACACTCCGTTTGCCAGAGGAGAAAACTGAGGCCTAAAGCAGTTAAGTAGTTTGCCTAAATTCACAACTGAAAAGCTTTGCTATTTTTAATTCCTTCGTACTGTTCGTTACAACGAATGCAGGAGAAAGATTAACTTGAGAACTGTTGCAGAATACTTTGTTCAAACGACACTAAATTTCAGTAGCAACGGGTGTATTTAGTATGTGAGTAAAATATGTGTATATGTGCACACAAGCACACGTGACACTTGAACATTTCAACACTTGAAAATCCAAGTCTTCGTAGAGCTAGTTACTAATTATTATTTATGCGTTTATTGTCCTTGTGTAAGGAACACATGGTTTTGTGCACCGCTCTTTATTTTTCTGCTTAGAACAATACCTGGTAAAAAGGTTGAACGAACGAATGAATGACTAATGTGCGGTAGCTTTTTAGAATATTAAAATGAAGACCAAATTCCAGAATAAAAGATAATAGTGAAAAGCACATTTCTGTAACAGGAACCAAAGCGATGAGGAATTTACTTGGCTAGGCTTTACGTGCGGTTTCAGACATCGTTTTGTAATGCGCAATGTAAATTTGTATATTGCTCATCGCAAAATAAAACAATACAAACGGATATAAAAAGCAATGTAAAAGTTTATTTCCATATTACTGGGAATCTTCTCCATATTAACAGTAACCACTATTAACAGTTTTTGAAACTTCCTATGCATATGAGATGGTCCTTGGCTTATGATGGGGTTATGTCCCAATAAACCCATTGTAAGTTGAAAATATCTTAAATAGAAAATGCATTTAATACACCTAACCTACTGAACATCATAGCTTAGCCTAGCCTACCTTAAACATGCTCAGAACATTCACCATTAATCTACAGTTGGGCAAATCATCTAGCACAATGAATACAGGGTAGAGTATTGGTTGTTTACTCTCGTGACCATGTACCTGACTGGGAGCTGTGCCTTGTTTCCTCTGGCTAGCATCAGGAGAGAGTATAGTACCATATATTGCTAGACCGGGAAAAGAGCAAAATTCAGAGTTTAAAGTATGGTTTCCACTGGATGCATCATATCACTTTTGCACCATTGTAAAAGCACAATGAATACAGGGTAGAGTATTGGTTGTTTACTCTCGTGACCATGTACCTGACTGGGAGCTGTGCCTTGTTTCCTCTGGCTAGCATCAGGAGAGAGTATAGTACCATATATTGCTAGACCGGGAAAAGAGCAAAATTCAGAGTTTAAAGTATGGTTTCCACTGGGTGCATCATATCACTTTTGCACCATGTTGAAAAATTGTAATTCGAACTATTGTAGATTGGGAACTGTCTGTATAAATATATGTTCATATATTTTTCACATACAAATAGGATCTATACATTTTTCTGCAACTTGCTTTGGCCCCTTGTAAATGTCAGACATCTTTCTATATCAGTGCATACAGATGACTTTATTCTTGTTTATAGCCTGCATAGTATTCAATTGGAAGTATCATAATGTAATCATTTTCCAGTTTTCCACTATGTCAGACAGTGCTGAAGTGAATTTTAGATTGTCTCATGCTGAGCTCGTGAGAATATCTGCCAGATCAATTTCTAGAAGTGAGTCAAAGGTTCTGAGAACTTAAATTTGTTGTAGATATTGCTTAATTGCTCCCACCTTCCTTCTACTCTCCCAAAATGCTTGTGTCATGATTATATTTTGAAGTGTGTTTTACTAATTGAAAAACATGCATGATTGATATGGCAATTATTACATAATTGAAATTGAAAATGATTACTGCCTTTGTTAGTTTTGAATAAGTGATGTGCTGAAGACCATCAAAATCATTTGGTCAAATCAGTACAAAACAATGAATTACTTGGAGAGCTAAAAAGTATGGATTCCTGGACACTCACCTGGAACTAGTTAAGCAGGCGTTCCAAAAGTGAGACCTAGGAAACATTTAAACAAGCATCTGGAGCAATGTTGTCCAAAAAGAACATAACATGAATCATAGCGAGTTGCTTATGTAATTTTAAATATGCTAGTAGCCACATTTAAAAAAAGTTTAAAAGATGAAATTAATTCTAATACATTTTATTTAACTCAATATAACCGAAATACTTTCATTTCAACATATGATCAATGTTTTTGAGATATTTTACATTCCTTTTTTTTGTACACAGTCCTCGAAGTTAGGTGTGTATTTTACATTCACAGCACATTTCAATTTGACTGTTCACTTTTAAGTGCTCCATTGTCACATGGCTAGTGGTTAATGTATTGGACAGCACAGGTCTAGGGTGATTTATATATGTAAGAAATTTGAGAAACACTGTGTTAGGGTAAGTGCAGTTCTGTACAACTGACACATATTCTAGTCATTTTTTAAAAAAGTTCCATATTTTAACTCAAACTAATAACTAACAAATGCATTGCAAAATGAAACAAATCCAGAGTCTGATTATTGACAACACTGCCCTCCAGTGAACATGGGTGATAACTGTGAAGCCAGTACACAACTCATTCAAGATGTTTATCTCTTCAAGGAACAGAAAAACATACTGAGGGTTGAAACCATCAGTCATTGCTCCCACACCTAAAACAGTCAAGCAGATTGCTACCAAGTATTTGAAGGGATTTACGAAAGACCATATAACGGTCAAGGCTGAATTTAAAACTGTCCTTGAAGAATTTAGCATACTGAAAATAAATTCTTATATTCTGTAACAAATATCCAGATTATCATTTTAGTCATTTTTTTGGGAAGAAATGTTCAGTGAGCCCTGGTGAATGCAATGTGCTTCAGGGAAGGCTAATATGAATGCACAAAGTCCTTATCCTTTCTGAAGGAGTTTATGGTTTAGTAAGAACTATCCACCCAACTTTAGATACTTTTGATTTAAAAATTAGTCATTAAAGATTGTGGGTAAGATTATACTGTGAACCAAAAAATGTTTCAGGAAGTGTTTGGGGGAGAAAGGTTAAAAGCAGAGTTTAGAAATGAGTACTGTCATTTACATGAGATATCGTGAGGGACACCGCTATAATTTTGGCCATGGAAATGGAAGTCAGGGAAGAGAACAAAATATGGTAAAAACTTATTTGCCATAAGGGTCTTGTATGCATAGGATCATCTAATCTTCAAAATAATCCTATTATGTATTTTTAACCTTATATTAGAAATGAGGAAAGTGAAGCATAGAGATCTCAGTTAACTAATATTCCCAAGTCTTCTGACCCCAAACTCATAATTATGTCACCAGGACATGATATTACTGTACTGAAGGAAGAAATAGTAGTAAGGTGATGAACTCTAGAGGAAGATAGGAAGTGGAGTGAAGCCTGGGCAGCCAAGAGAATGGCAACTCCATTGACAAGAAGAGGGAAGTCAAGAGTTACTGATTTGAGAGCAGGGGAAAAATGATTCAGTTTTGGTTATGTTAAATTTTTAGTGGAACGTTCAGTTATATTTGTCCACTGGACCATCAGATATGTAGAAATGAAGCCCAGGAGGAAAGTCAGAAGTCACTGAAGTCGTGTATACACATGAGTGGGAGAAAAAAAAAGGCTAGCAGCAGTGGCCTAGAATCAGTACCACAGTGTGTGCAGATATCTGGCAGTAGACAACCTTTGAAAACATAGTCAATATACATAAAGATCTGATTAGATAATGCATAAGAGTCTATGACCATGCTACCCTGAACAAGCCCAATCTTGTCAGATCTTGGAAGCTAAGCAGGGTTGGGCCTGGTTAGTACTTGGATGGGAAACCACCAAGGAAGACCGGATGCTGTAGGCGTAAAAAAAAAAAAAGGTATTGTAAGCTAACAAGATCCTTGCAATTCTGAAGGTCAACCAAGGGTTGCTTCACCTAAAAAAAAAACAAAACGATAATGCATGAGAAAAAAGTTCACTATTACAGCTTTTGGTTAAATCATGGGAGAAATATGTATGCCTCGGTAAGTATTATAAGCATAATTAACCTATTCAGAAGCAGGAAAAAAACTCAGCCTTCAAAAATAAGAATTATCTGATAAGGGGTTAATATCCAAAATATATAAAAAACTCATACAACTCAATAGCACACACACACACACACACACACACACGTGTGCGCACACACAAAACAATTAAAAAATGTGCGGAAGATCGGAATAGACATTTTTCCAAAGAAGACATAGAGGTGGTACATTAAAAGATGCTCAGAGGGGAGGGGAATTGCAGGGCTGGGAGAATGGGGTGAAGGGTTAAAGAAGTACAAATTAGTAGTTGATAGCTGGTCATGGGGATGGGGAGCACTGCAGAGGGAATGCAGTTAGCATTAATAGGA